TAATTAAGAAGTTAAAATGTATTCGCTTCATTATTTATGATAAATTATTCTAGTTCGCTATATGTTATAGTACATACTTTTTATATTATCTCTGTGTCACTGGGGATTCGCAAGCGCGCGAGTTGCATCAGTGAATTTTATTGTTATCTAATTTTTTTGTACAAAAAAAATGAAATAATAAAGTATACGAGTAGAAACCTGTGTTCGTAAATCAGTGATCACTGTTGAGTGATTCAACAAATCTCTCGCGAACGTGAAAATGAATTTTGCATTGTGTATGCCTCATCTCTCAATAACCTTTTTTCTCATTTCTATCGTCGTCGTAAGTTTTACGCGCGTTATTACAACGTGAACTTCGTTTTGCGAGAAATAAATCTATACGTAATCGATACGTAAGCCGCTTTTAAGCTATCCTAAGCGAGTGACTAATAGCGGAACCTCATTAATCGGAAACGAGCGGCTTTAATTAGTCTTATTCTAATGAGACGACGCGCGTCTGCTTTCTCTCCGACCTTCTCCTCCTTTCTACCGCCTGTGCGCGCTTGTGCTCTCATTTCGCAAACAGCGGTCGTTTCCAGATAACGTAAATCATGCAATCCGCAGACGATCGTAAATCTCTTAAATGCGAAAAGAACAAGGTCAGTGAGTAAAAGTCAGTATTCAGAAAATAAATAATCGTGTATTTTAATTGAAATTTGAATTTCCATAATTCCAAACATTACTTTTCTCGAATCCTAGTCTGCACGTTTTTTTTATTGAATATTTATTAAAACTCCTTAATCCACAATAATAGTTTTGAACAAATTTTGAAAATACAAATTGACAACTACATACATGCACAACTTAATTAATAATATATATATTTATTAATTTAGCGAATTTGTGCATGAAATAATTTCCACAACGAGTTGCTGTGTAAAATTTGTTATGTCAGTTATAGATACGAATTGATTGTGCGCAATTTGATTTACAAAGTTCATACACACACACACACACTATTAATGTATTTAATATAAATTGTAATAATTTGTAATTATTATCGACGGAATTACCAAAGTACCTTGAATTTTGCGAAAACGGATAAACAATTGAAAATCACTTTCTTTCTTTCTCTCTCTATTTATAGATATTTAATACACTCAAGTAGATTTCCACTTTGGACGAAAAATATCAAAAGAGAAAAACTCGTGTTTATTTTTGTTCTATTTACGTTCTTCTTATTTTTCGCGGAAAAAATCGCATAGTTTTCCGCTTTTTTCCAACAATAAGAATATCTCCACTTCGAAATACATTGTATCTTTCCTCGCTGAAACGGCAGAATTCTAGATTTGTCGCGTGAATGGCAAATTGCGCGCGAGCGCGCGCGAATAGGCTTGGTTTTAATCCCTCACTTATTACGGGAACAATCTGCTGGGGGATTTTCGCGTAGAAACGGACTATCGGCGGGACGACTATCAATCGATGGAACGGGAATGGAACAAAGTGAGACCATGAAACACGGATTCCACGTTCCTTTTAGTGTTTGCTCTCCTCCGCCCAGCTTATCGAGAATCCCTCACTCTGAATGCCTTCCTCTTTCCCGACGCGCAATAAGACGAGTACACCGATGCATTATGAAGAATGCACAGGGTGAGCTATTTATTCTCATAAAACTTTTAAAAAGTCGAGTTTTCCCTCGCTTTTTTAAATTAAATTCTACCAAGTTGTAAACTTACGTAAATAAATTACAAATTCCACGAAAAAACTTCTACAAAATAAAAAAAGAAAAAAACTATTTTTTTAGTGGATAGTGAATTTATAGATGAACAAAATTGCGGTAGATCCGAAACACACACCCCATATACATATCGCACTATCGACTCCGCGATGACGATTTTAATAATTTCCCACCGACACGTTAATTAACTCTTCGATGTCGTTTTTGCTCTCGGTTGTTTGTCTTTATCTTGGGAGTCTTTGAATTCCTCGCGCAACTACCACATTTCATTGAAAATACTTCTTCAATGCGCGATGTACGCGCGATTTCTTATATACAACATTAAGTCACTTTTCTAAGACGTTTTTCTAAGAAAGTTCATTTGCTTAACTCTCTATTAATATTTTATTATCTTGTTGGTGTATCTGTAGATTGTAGGATTCGAATAAATTATAGACGATCGCCAACTAAAAATCAAAACGAAAGCGCGAAGATGGCGCGTTCATTACTTGGAGAATCGGAATAACGACCTCGGCACGGCATTATATGTAGTTCTCCGAGCTCGTCATTATTATCTTAATTATATCGGTCCGCCCTTGACATTGGCTTCTGATTCTTTCCGAACACGATCGTCTATCCTTGCCAACGTGCCCTCTCGATTATCTCAATTGCACATCGTGTTCGCTCTCGCGTGCAGAGAGAGTATTTGAATTCTTTTTTCTCTGGCTCCTCTGCGCGATAGTTAAAGCCGAGAATCGAGGGATAATGAGGAGATAACTCTGCGAAATTCTCAAAGGAAAAATTTTCTTCTCGTACTTGTAGAAAAAAAAAAATCTAATTGGCTCCTCTCTCTCTCTCTCTTTCTCTTGAAATAAAAATATATTGTAAAATTTTTAATGTGTATTTTTAATCTCATAAATTATCTGGAATATTTAACAATTTCTTTGAAACTAGTAACAAATGTTTATCTGTAAGCTAATAAAAAATTATCAATAGCAAGAATGCGATTTTAGTTGTTATTGAAGTAATTGTTTTTAAGTTCGCAAGTTTTTACAACAAATTTTTTTCACTAGGTTAATCTTTGTTTTTTGGCGAAATATACGTGACCGCGTGAACTTTTTCGAGCGCGGGAAAGAAATTCCGATGATCGGTATTTTCTATCGCGATGCCACTCGAGAGAGATTCAGCAGAGCTGAGAAATGTCGTTACGGTGCCCCATAAAACCGCAGTTTCTTCATTATCCTGTTCTATACACATCTTGCCTTTGAGAAGGCAATTTGGATTTTTTTTTCCCCCAACGCGCGCGGAGGCCACGGATGTAATAGTCAGTTGAAGTCGTTATTTTCAGAAGAAGTACCGAACGATGGTAGGGCACTTTTCAGTTGAAACTATCCTGCGTCAATGACGTAGGATCGGTAATACTGTGGCTGCCCGAGCTGCCCTTTCATTGGTCCGTTTCGTGCCGCGGCGCTCGCTCGCTCGCACATCGCTCCGATCATCTCTGCGCATCACGTTCTTTCACCCGAACGATTCTCATTGAACCCTCGTCATATTTCCGAGGAAACCTTCTTTCTCTTTCCACTCCCTATTGCCTGTCATTTATCATCTCGAAATTATTACACCGACTTCACAAAGAAATCTCTAACTTTTAAAAAATGTGTTTACGCGCGTGGAAGATAAAAAAAAAAATTCATAATTTGAGCGCTGAAGTTTTCAATAAACAAAAAAAAGAAACAAAATATCGAGAAGAAACAAGTTCGCTCGGTCAAGATAGCGGTTGAAATCGACTTTCACAAGTTCGAAGTTCAAGTTCTCAGAGCGATCAGTTATCGTCTCCAATAAATTTCTGTTTAATAACTTTCTTCAGTTTTTTAGAGATAAATAAAAAAATTTCCAAGCCTATGTCTAACAAAAAAAAATGAAATTTTTGATCGACAACAAGCAATTTTTTGCTTGACACATCTATTTCTTTTTTTATTTACCGGAGAGCAACGCTAATCTGTGTTTATTCGGCATTGTTCTCGTTTGCTAAATCGAGGGATTAACACGACCGCGATCATTATCGTATAAAATCGAATATCGAAATTGTCGAATGTTTGCAAGATAGATATTTCGCACGGGTCTAAATGATCATTAGTGTTCACACGAGTTGCTAATTGACTATAACGATCTCTACTGTACACGATAGGATGAGCTCTGATAATCCACTACTTTGAACCTATCCTATAATAACATATATCGATGCGATCATGCGATTGTCTCCCAGGGATTTGTCACGGGGATATATATTTGCAGTTGTGCGATTGACACACAGAACAAATACACAAACACACGAGTCATATCACATCGCTAATGTGTAATATTAATTTTTATATTATTTGTTTTACGCGATCAAACACGATCAACGAAAGAGAAAATTTGTTTGAGAAAAAAAGAAGAATATTTTTCGAATCTTTTTCAAAGTGTATACGCAGAGATTTCTCGAGTCGACGTTACCTAAGATGCAATTTGCATAAGATGAAAGAGACGTCGCTTAAGATTCACGTGATGTCTGCGACACGCGATATACTTAACTCTGTAAACAGTAATTCACGTTTGCATAATTATTCTCCCCGCCTTCAACAAGCCGGCAATGTGCCATACATTACGTAAGTCGGATGTAAACTGCGATATATATATATATATATAAAGCGTATTAATTTTATATGTGCAGAATTTTTCTCCTAGATTTTTTCCTCGATCTCCTCGAGAGAAAAAATATCGCACGATCGCTTGTCTACACCTCTACAAGAGAGATCGTCTATGTGTTCTAAAAAAACGATACTCTAACTTTGCTCGAAAGACTAGGCTAATTCTTTCCTTCTGTTTTTGATGTTGTTCCTACAATAGCCGTTCCCCTACGAGAGAGTTGCGATAAATCTAATCTTGAAATATTGAATCTATGAAAATCCTTAGCCATTGAAGATATTCAGATTCGTCTTACAAAGAAACAAGCGATTGTAAATATCTGTCGAAATTGTTTAATTGAAATATTTACTTAAGAAAACATTTTTTTTCAAAATTAAACATTTGTATCTTTTTCTGAAATGTACGAAAATTAGATTTTCGTTTTTTTTACGAGAAAATAAACCTTCAAAGTTTTTATTGAAATATAGTTGTAGGAAAAATAAAGTGTCGCGACATTAATGAATTTTTGTATTTTCTTTCGGAGTTTGCAACTTCGGAATTTTTCGATAGCGTCGGAGAAGATACAAAAAATGCTTTTAAGTGTCGTGTGTTCGATGATTTGTGCCAAATCACTCACCAAATTGTCCGGATGCAAGTGGTGGCTGTAATCTCTGGGGTTACCCCGCGAACCACCCGGGGAACTGTGTCTACGACCTCGTCCGTTCTCGATTTCGTCGTCGTAATCCTGGAAAAAAAGGACGCAATTCGTGTTTCATTCGGATCGGTCGTCGTCAATTAGTTCGTTTTTTCTTTTTGACAAACATATCGACGGCGCAAATTTTTATTAGTGATAAAAAATTCGCGTATATCTAGGCGTATCCCTTCAACCTTCTCACCCTCATTAACGCGGCGAAAAAAATCCATAATATATATATATATATATTTATGACAAAGTTTAGAAAGAACAGATTTTTAGCTACTTTGATATATATTTTCCTGTTTTCTCGGAATATACTTTCTAGATCTATTCTTTATTTTCGAATTTTTGTTTAACATCTAAGTTGAATCGAATCATTTAAAATAATCACTGCGGCGGTTGATGCGCCGCGGCGGTTCGACGAGGATACGCCCGCAGTACCTGATTGTCGCACTCGTCATCGTTGGAGAGGGCGAGGTCGGAGGTCGTCACTTGGTGCTGCTGCGCCCTCCTGCAGCCCACTCTGCAATTGGCAAAATTTCCATTTCAGAACCACCCCCGCCCCGCAACGCGACGCGACGCGACCGCTCTTTTCATCAATCGTCGCGCGCAAAATCGTCTTATTAAACCGTCCTATTGCTGTTTCATCGGGACGATCGCTCCTCGAACACGGAAGATCAATCGCCCCGATCGGAAACAAAGGGAAGGTGATAAAATCCAGAAAAACAATTCTGAGAATTTTTCTCAGATGTGATTATCGCGAACGTTCAAGAGTGTTCGGGTTAATTTTTTTTTTATTAGACAGACACACTTTGTCTTTTGAGAAGATATTAAGAGAGAGCGAATTTGCTGAAAAATTCGTGAAGGTTCAATCGCACGCGCGGCAACCTACCCTTCGTCTCGTTATTATTATTATTTCTATCATCTACCGGAAGCAAATATTTTGGCTTGGATAATAATTCTCTAAAGTTTCAGAAAGCAACATTTCTGGGAATTGCAGTTCCATTTTCGGAAAGCGCCGAAACGATGGTAATCCGAGTTACATCTGCAATTTCGTATAGTTCACACATTTGGAACACTTTGGGTATATATAATTGTAATCAGCGCGTGTTAAATGTTGCTTAACGTCGTCAAAGTGCGATCACAATATAACCGCATCGGACCAGTTTCGGACCAAAATTCTCCGAACGAAAATGGAGCTGCGTAACTTTGAGAATAAGAGAGAGAGAGAGAGAGAGAGACAGAGAAAGAGAGAGAGAGAGAGAGAGAGAGCTTTATGATGAATGAGATCATCTCTCTGAAGATCAGTCAATGAACCTGCCGATGACGAGCGACTATTTGGTTTCGAGATATGGTTTCAAAGCTGCTGCTCGGCGCGGTGACAAAGCTTGTAGATAGACGAGGAGAGATTCTTACCCGGAAAGGTTGGAAAGCAGTATGGAGCACATGAAGGCTACGAGGCATCGACGTGGCAAGCAGGTTCTACAATCGCGATTAATAGTTCGCTTTTGGAGCGCGACATCGCGACGGTATATAGACGTCTCACTGCGGACGTTCGACGGGGACGAGCGACTTCGGATTGCAGGTGGCGTCGATCAAATTTTTTTTATTATTTACAGTCACACATTTGTTTTATTTTATTTTCACATTTTTTCAATACATTTTTACGTCCCGTTTTTCGGGAAAAAATTGGATTAATCTCCGCAATCTTTTCTGCGTTTCTCTGTATTATACAAATTTATTTATTTTTGAAGTAATTGACATATTTAAAAAACAATTTGTATATGTTCCATATGTTCGGAAAGCGAAAAACATGATCTGATCGCGAATTACTTGAAGAATGTAAATTTACACAGGGAAAAGAATTAAGTTTTCTAATTTCCGTAATTAAAAGAAGCATTTTAAAGTCGCCAAATAAAATACGAGTCATTTATTTTTAGATCCAGGAAACCAATTAGCAGCGGCGGGAAGATACATTTGCGTATTTCAGGTCGCAGATGTTATTGATAGCATCCTTCTCTCTTTTATTCACTTATTGATTTTCTAAATTAGACTCACTTTTTTTCGCACCACTCTATTTTGATAGTCGAGAAAACAAATTTTGCTCGTAGATTACTCGACGTTGTGCGAATTAAATTTTTGTATTTTTTTTTTCCGGATCGATTTTACCGCAATATCAGTAGCGACGGAATAGAATTTTAATCCGAGTTGCGCGTTATTAAGATACGAGATGATGATTAATTCGAGATTAAATCTAATTCCGGCGAAATTGGAGAAGCGTGGAATCACCCCGCGGACAACGCGCGAGGATTCAGACTGCTTTTATTTCTGGCTCTGCGAACGAATTAGCGAGACGTAAATACGTCTAATGAGATCTCTGGCGAGAGAGAGAACTCGTCACAGCTCGCGATGAACGGGAGGAGAGCTTGGTGGACGAGCGTCGCGACGAACGTTTCGTTACCGAGGCGATTACGATACTGGGTGACTCCCGAAGCTCATTTGTTTCATTCTGTTACCCGGGATACGACCTAGTGGTAAGAAAGCACGCCGGTGTGAAAATTTCAAGGGCTCTCCCGTCGTTTCTTGGCTCGTTTAAAAGACCGCGCACCGCGTACAGGGTGTTCCAGAAGCTCCGGAATCATCGTTAAGTGGACGAGTGCGCTTGAAGGTAAAATCCAGTGACACACTTGGCGCACAAACATTTCCGAATCATATAAAACAAAAATATACGAAAAGATCATTATTATTATTTATCAAAGAAAGTACTTATTTATCAAAAAAAAAAAGAATTAGATCGAAAAATTTTGATGTTGCCGTATCGAGATTTTATAAATAAAAATAATATTGTTTAACTTGTACAATTTAGATTAGAAAATTAAATTTTGTTCTTCTTTTTGTTCCATTAGAGAAAACAAAATAATTACTTCGAGTATCTCAAAGTTTTATTTTTGTAAGTATAAAAAATATCAACGATAGAAATTTGTTTTTATTTCTAATTATTATTGTTTTTATCTGAAACACCTTGTACACACACACGGGTGTTATGACGTCAGAAGCGGGGAAATCTCGCTCGACCTGTCGGCTTTTTCGCAGTGCTTGTCGCCACACGATAATAAATAAATCACTTATTTGCCAAAAAAGAAACTGCGCCGGTTAAAACACGCGCCTCTTTCTCATGCACTTCTCGTGTATTTTGTTGGTACAATTTTCTATGTCGCGGTTTGTATGTATGTGATATTTATATACACACCTGTGTACAAACAAAAGCGCGTTGCGGTAAAGAAATTATAAATTGCAATAAGGTTTAACGAAACAATTGTGTAGAGAAACAAACCTGTGGGGAAAAAATTCTTACACGAAAAATTTCTCAATTCAATCTGATATAAATTGTATTCTCGCGGGGAAAAACGTAAAATAAAAGAAAGAGAAAATCATCGGAAATTTTTCTGACAATTTTTTTTTCAACCAAAATACAGAATATTTTCATAAAAGGCAAGCGAGAAAATATCACTTTTGTCTGTTGATGTAACGCAAAACACGAAGTTTCTTCTCCGAACCGAGGGAGAGTTTTGTTTCGCAAAGAAAGTTTGTTCGATTCGCGACAAAAGACAGAATTCGCGGTTAAAAGATTAGATCGGTGGACGATGAAGAGACGTTGGTATTGAAATAACTCGCGCGCGCATTCTCGTACATCAAAAGCAGAATGTTCGTTCGTCCGTGTTCATTCATTATCAGACGACGAGGCGAATCAACGTGAAAACTATCAAAAGCTCGTGCCAGGCAAATTTCATCATCCGCGGTCCGTAACGATATTGGTTCTCGCCGCATTCGTGCTCGCTCTATCGATCTTGCAAAATTTACTTTCGTACAATTCAATAAGTGTGTATGCATTCGCGCGTACATTCGCGGAGAGAAAGTTAATGCGAATTCACAGATATGACGCGGCGGAAAAACGAAGTAGAAACGCGTTTGATTTTTTTCCCCGAACACTTCGATCTTAATTCCATTGCTATGACGCTCGGCACAGAGCGCCTTATAAATAATCACTATATACGTTTATGTTTTATTTTATATCAGTTCGAAAAACTAATAAACAGTTTGTTAACCTTTTGCGGACAGACATGGGTCTTTCAGACCCACTCCAAAATTGCGTATCGGTGTTTCTAGTAAAAATAATTTATTTTTTTTAATGCTTATATCTTCGAAACTACTAGAAATTTTTTCCATTTGTTTTATTCTTTTTTTATCGGCGCAGAATTGTTCAAACTTTCAATAAAAAAAAAAAAACAAAACAAAACTTGAAAAAATATTGGATTTCTTGCAGAGATATTCGATTTTAAAATCGCGTGGGTCTCACATACCCAAGTCTGACTCGTACACTGAAAAAAACAGTTTTGTTGAAATTACCAAATTTTGATAATCCCAACCAAAATTTTGTTTCTCGAACACTTTATTTGATTTGATTTACCAAATTTTTATCAACAAAACCGTTTTTTTTCAGTGTAGGTAATTTTTTATTAGGTCTGTCGGCGAAGGATTAATCCATCAAAGTAAAGAAGATTCTACATCAACAATAATTTCGCCGAAAAAAGAAATCTTCATTAAAAATGTCTTATTTTTGCAGATTACTTTTTTATGATTATATGTTAATTAAAACAATGTTGTATAAAATCTTCTCTCGCTATTTCTACAATAATAATTATCGGAGATAAATGTTCCCTTCAAATTGAGAGAAGCTTTTAATTCCGCCAAAAATTCTCGTTCCATTTCTGTCCGCGTGTTAATTTTCAATTCAGTGATAATTATCTCGACAATTCCCCGTTTAATAAAATGTAATCGGTTTAGAATTTATTATTATTGTTATTATACCGGAACGACGCGCCCGTCGTTATTAATTCTATTATCGGCGTTCTCTTCTCTGATGTCGGAAATTTCACGTTTTAATAACAATCATCAAACGAAATCGGTTTCTATGCGCCCCTTCCTCCCTCTCCCGCATGCGCTGCAACGCAACAGCTGCTTCCTAACCGTGAAATCGAAAGCTACATAAAGCTGCTACGTCGGGGATATAGTCGCGACGTTTCGAGCGTGTCGCGCGGGAAGGAAATGAGAACAGTGAAAACTGTCGTGCGGCAAAACTCGCGCGCGCCACGCCGACTAAATCCGCCTCGATTATCGATTTCCCTCCCACGCGCTGCCACGTGGAAAACGCCACCTTCGGCGCGCGGCGGCGGCGACGGCGACGATTCGTCCTATACCACGTTATTCCGGTGGATTTGTGTATAACATGTATTTCATCTTCGTCACTTTGACGCGAGTCGGCATCTCCAAAATGCCCCTACGAGACTTTCCAGATCGAAAAATTATTTGCTTACGTCAATTCTCTCTTTATGTATCCGCACTTTGATTTCCGACGAGTTAATAGGATTTTTCGACGGCCTATGTTGCGATTCTCGAAATTTCTCGCATATTCAATATCGACAAAAATTTCGTCGACGTTATTATTACATCGAATTTTCATCGAGAGATTCATTAAGATTTTATTACGCGTTTTATTCGCTCGGTTGAAAATTTAAATCCGAGTGTTGTTATAACGACGCGCGCGGGAATCTCGAAACTCGATCGCGCCGAGCGAACGAAAACGCTATATACGTATTGCGCGCATCTCTCCGTGTTTGTATTGCGAAAAATTACGCGCATCGCGATTTTCTAATTTTCGCGATACGGACGTAACGGACGTGCATGGACGAAGAGCAACAATGAGCCACCCGGCTGTTTCCGACTCGGTCAAACAGCGAAAGTAACAGCCCATTAGCGTCACGACGACGCGACGGACAAGTTGCGGCGATGAAGGTGAAGTGCATCGAACCGTTGCATCGAAGCGTTCTTGCACGCATCGAGTCTGTTTACTTATCCGGGAAGGGGATTTTCTCTCTCTCTCTCTCTCTCTCTCTCTCTCTAACTAGTTCGATGCCGAGGAGAAGAAGAAGGGGAGAGGGGGAGGGGAGGGAGACACGACCTGCAGAAGGAAATGAAGTAACGATGTATCGCGTGTATCCTACAGAGAAACGCCATTACGTTAATCTAATCCCTTTTCCAACTTGGAAGCCGGCGGATTTTTTGCCGCCGCGATCTCTTCGCCTGGGCGAATTCCGCTCGGGCAAAGTTGAACTCTCTCTCGCGCGAAGCGAGAGCAATCAGCTGTTTGTTGAATAATCAATAATACACCGCGAACCAAAAGCGAATTGTCGCTCGCTACACAGATTGTTCTGATTCGCAATCGCGCTGTTATAATCGTAATAAACGTGATTAAAACGAGAAGTTTTCCGATGAGAATTCGAAGAGGATTTGACTTCTCGTCGACGAAGAGACTCGAGCTCGAGTTATCCACGTGCGCCACACAACCGTTAATATTACATTTTACATCATATAAACTCGGGAGAATTTAACTTCCTAATAACTCTCGCTGTCGCGGGGGAAATTATATATATACATATATACACACACACACACATATACATAGGGTGTCTGAAAAATTTTGTTACGGCAAAATTGTGAGGATGATCGAGTCAATCTAAACAGAAAAGTCACTTAGCGCGTTGCAAAACTCGCAATATTTATTGAGTTGTTCATTAATTACTGTGAGCCAGTGAGCGCGTGGGAAGCACGCGGTAGTCCGGACCATCTATGTAGATAAGATTTTCAGTTGTATTCCGTCGCCGTAAGAATCAAGCTGATCGCGAAAAGCTCGCGTGTTTGCTTTGCCTCTTCGTTGTTAGAAGATTGCACAGAGAATAAGCTATTTTTTTACAATTCAAACACAAAACACACTTGCAGAATTCGGGCCTCCCGCGCGTTCATTGGCTCGCGTTAATTAATTAACAACTTAATAAATATTCGAAATTTTGCAAAACAATAGTAAAAAATAGTAAATAACCTTTTCCGTTGACTCAATCTATCTTCACACTTCGGCTGAAAAATTTTTCAGACATCCTGTATATATGAAAATTCGAGCGATCCCGTATTATAATAAGATATCTAGTATTCGAAAGATGGGCAGACTCGGCAAACACACCCTGCGTAAACATTATCGCGCTTCGCTAAACTCCGTTGCTGGTAATGAATGTGATTGGCAAAGTGAATCATTATGTTCCTCGCTAACTAGCTTCTCTCGCGTATTTACATGAGACACAAACTCAAGCGCAACTGCGGGAGCAAAATCTTATAATGCGAGAATCGCTGTATATCAAGAGAGAGAGGGAAGGAGAAAAGTGGTGAGGGTGGTGAGTTAACGCCGGAAGGATCGTCGCTGCCATTTCGAACAGGCGCGGCGTTGTTCTCTATTATCTTGCGTGTGAGAAGTTTCAAAATCGTCGACTTCAAAACGAAATTTCCTAACAAACTTCGCGACGTTAATAACCAGATTGTGAATTTTCTTTGCGAAAAAACGCTATCCGGTCGTTGTTCAAGATGGCGGCTCGCGAAAGGAAGGGACACTTCCGGCGTTAAAGAAACTCTTGCGGTCGACCTGGTCCTGGGCATGTCGGCCCCGAGACCGCTGTCCTCGCTCGGCGACCTATACTCCTGGCTATCCCGCGGCAGAAGTGGTCCCGTCACTCCCAGTGGGTCTCCCTCGACGTCCACCAGTCGTCCCGGACGGCAACAACCACCACCGGACACACCCCTCTGCGAGAAATCAGATGTCCTGTCATGCCGTACCCGTTTTTTCTTTACGTCACCGCGTAAAAAAAAAGAATAAAAAAACAGAATGCTTTCCATCTGTCTTTCTTTCTTTCTTTCCCTCGAACGAGGGGCGAGATCGGGCGATCGATGATTTTATCGGCGCGTTATCGTGCGACAGAATGATATAGGAAATGTCTCACGTGGCTTTTAGGGAGTAATTTTTTTATCGGCCAGCCCCGCAATATTCCATTTACGACGAACATCAGTGACCATTGGTTTTTTTTTTTTTTTTTTTTTTTTTTTTTTTTTTTTTATCATCGCATGCACAAAAAATGTCGATGCTTTAATTTACTTCCACAGCAATAAATGAAAAACAATAAAAATTCGTAATACGAAAGAAGCTTTCAAACACTTTCATTAAACTAACAACATACAAAAGAATAACTATTAAAACACTAAAAAACTTATTTAATTATTTATCATTTACAGCGAAAATCGTAATTTTCACATATAAATTTTCAAAAATAAATTTCTTCAAATATTAAAAAAATAATTAATAATTTTTCGTCTTTTTATACATATATATGTATATATATTGAAAGAGAATAAAACTCAACACTGTATAAAATAGTTGTGCATTCAAATAGCGATTTTCATAGTTTTACTTGTTTCATTTCTGCGGGGAGAAAAGATGGTTTCGCGCACGCGTTAACCCCATCGGACATCGATTAGTCTTGAGCCCACCTGTTTCGGTATCATAATTGGAGTTTCTGACATCGGTGCAAATGAGCGATTTAACAATAATTCATCATCGATCGACGAGTCATCGCGCGTCGTTCCGCCTGCACAACATTTGTCTTCAATCTGATGCTTGATTTACGACGCTCTCTCCAATCTCTATACGAGATCTTGTCTGCAAAATTATCGGCGCGCGCGCGATGCGATCCGAAACGAACGGATCGTCGTAAATCAAGCGTCGATTCGTCGATCCGATCTGTCGATCGAGTGGAAACTTCGTAGAGTCGCGAAAAAATTTCAACTTGACTTTTTTGTTTGAGCTCGCGTGCAAACGCACGAGAACGGTCTTTTCCTGAAAACGAAAACTCTTCCTCTTTTTTTTTTTCAATTCCGCGACTCGCTCGCAATCGGTTTCTCGCGAGTTCACACGGAAACGGAACGAAGTGTTTTTTTGATTCTCGCGAGAATGCTGTTTCTCTTGCGAGATAGAAGGAAGAAGGAAAATGGTGTGTGTGTTCTTGGCAAGCATATCAGCTTTCTACTTGTCCGCTAGCACAGCAAGCATCTAATATCATACACGATCTAAGATCGTAATCTAAACTAACGAGAAGAACAGAGAATGCAATGTGCGAGAGCGCATCTCCTCTTGAAAAAACAAAAAGTTTTTAACAATAAGAACTCGTTGTTTCGATTGAAGTGAAAAATGAACAAAAAAAATACTACAATTATAATAAAATCGCTTAGGTATATTATATAAGTTTCATATATATATATATATATATATTATGTCCATAATATTTTTGTACGTATTACCTTGTATTTTCAATTTACATAACGTTTTAAATTATAATCGTACAATAATTTTAACGTGACATCCGATATTTTCTCTATTATCGATTTCTGTTTGAAATTTTCGATTAAAGTATTTTTTCTTCCACTTGTCGTAATTGTGGCAGAAAAAAGAAAATTAGCACAACAACAGAAACGTCGAAAACATCGGTTTCTCGAGACTGACGACAAATACTGACAAAACGCAGGAAATAAGATAGCGCAGTATAAGCAAGTTTATGTAAAAAACAAAAAAAATACATAGCAATTAGCGGTGATTGAGAGCTATATACGTATATATGTGTATAAATATATATACACGCACACATACAAAAGTAACAAGAATGCATATATATATATAACTTCTTAGGAGAAAGAGAAAGAAAGAGAAAGAAGTAGCTGAGAAAAAAGCTGCGGTCGAACGAACAAAATTTTTATTCTAATTAAAATATTGCATCGAGATTGATGTTACGCAACGAATCACTAGCTGATTCACTATACGAAAAATCTATGACTACCAGAACTCTCTATTGTTCTATAAAAAAATTCATGGCGTTAAATGTAAAAAAAAAAAAAAAAATGAAGCGTCTGCTTACAAAAATATGAATGATTTGTCGTTTCTAGCTTTGGCGATTACATATGTATTACTATAATTACCACTAAAACTCACATCAACGATAGTTGTCATTCAAATGTTTAACAAAAAAATCTAATCTCTGAATATATTAAGCTTCAAGATTTTGAGGAAATACTCTTTTTTACAGAGAAATATGACAAAATTGATCGTCGCATCGATACGTCATTTGCTCAACAAACTTTCTCGATATTTCCTCGAACGAGAGTAAAGAAGGTTTGTTCATTATCAAGCAGCTGTTATCCTCAATGCAGCGAGAAAGAGAGATAATATAGAGAGAAAGATAGAGACAGAGATATAAAGATAAAGATATAGAGATAGAGACGAAGGGATTGCAAGTCATTTTCCTGAAAGACGAGAGTCATGCTTTTGTCGAGGAGAAGATAACGACAAACCAGCACGATCAAACGGATTATATAGGATTGTTAGTGATTTTTAGCGATCGATGTGCGCGTTCTCTCTTTTTTTTTTCCATCGAGATCGACGTGAAAGGTTCTTCCGCGTACGGCCTCCAGGAGGATCGGAGGATCCTCTGCCGAGGCTCTCTTTAAATTCTCCCCGAGGACGTCTTCCTGCGTGGCGTTCTCCATTTCCCCTCGCACCTCTCCGATCGATTTACTCGATCGCGAATTTCAGGTTCTCTTCGACTCTCGGCGAATCGCGCATCTGCGTCGATCATCGGTAACGAGCGAAAACGAAATTCTTTTTACGCGCGTGCGTAAAAAAATTATTTTTGAAAATTTGATGTATATGTATCTTTTTTTAATTATAATAACGACGAATTTGTGGTCGATTATCGTTCATATTTATCTCGAGAAACTCGGACTTGTTCGCATAATTTCGCTTGTTCTCGGTGAGAGACGGTGTTCCTTTTCGACGCACGAGGATTGTTTTTGTTAAAAAAAAAAAAAAAACGTTTTTGTTTTTTTCGCGAACTCCAACAAACGCAAAGCGATTTCAAGTGTTTCGAGTAGTCAGGGTGAACAGACACATCCACAGAGCACAGTGAGTGAAGAGAGAAGAGAGAGAAAGTCAGTTCTATACATATCATCGTAGAGACAAGAATCGTAAAAAAAAAAAAACGTGTGTCCTGTACGTGAGAGTTAACAATGCGCGTTAATCGCGCGTGTGATTTGCGCGAGATTTGTGTGTGTGTGTGTGTGTGTGTGTGTGTGTCGGGTCCGTGTAAGCTCGGAGAATATGAATAGAATGTCGTAAGGATGGGTTAAACTCACCGGAAGATCGTGCAACGAAGGAGTTACTATTAAGTCCGAATGAGCGCGGTCGCCTTTTCTCTGGAAAAAAAAGCGAAAAGGAAAGTCTTGATATTTCTCCCGCGCTGGTCTCTCGCTTTCGGCTATTTTCAACGCTCTTTTTCTTTTCTTGCTCAAACTCGTGTTGAGTAATAATGTGACGTAATGATCATAAACCGCGATGAATTAAAGTAAAAAAGATTTTTTCTGAGAATTTCTTTGTCCATTGTACGTGCGAGAAGAGAAAAAACTTGAAAAACTCGGAGAAGAAAAATTTTTTACATATTTTCGAGACTGATTAGAAAAAAATCTGGAAAAAGAAAAAAAAACTCACCCTCGCCATCGCGACTCGGGGTCGATAGACGAGATCGTCGAAGGCCGGTCTGTCCTTGTTGTCGACGAGCTCCCTGAGTTCCGTCAGCAACGTCAGCTTTTCGTGAGTGTTGAGCAGATCGCCCAAACTGATGACCAGCTCCTCTATGGTTATCCTCCTCGATCTGTAGTCCGCAAGGAGCTGCGAGAGCGCCGCTCGCTCGCTTCTGGCGAGAACAACCCTGGCCTTCTCCTCCACCATGGCAGCGGTTGCTGCCGAAATTGTGTGACTTCTGTGTCGCCACTCATTCGTGCTGTTATTTAAATATAGATTAGATTAAACGCAAAATAATTGAAGCGTCAAGACAGAGAGACAAATGTTAATTTATGCTTTAATGTCTTATTTATTGCTTGCCGGTATTATTCTTTACGTAACAGTTCGATTTACTACTTCATAAATATTTTTATTTCTATTTTTGATAAGAAATCATTATTTTAAAAATTTACAAAAAAAACACTCAGAAAGAAATGTGTCTGATATATTAACTTAAATGAGATTTTACTCGTTTCCAAAAACTAATCGGATGGTTTGCCGTAGAGTATTGAAATTTACTTTAGCGACCCTTTTGTCGGAGATATAAATTTAATTTAAAAAGTTATAATCAGTATTAATTCAATTATAACCAACTCATTGGCCAAATATTATTCTTGTATCATGAGAAGTTTAAATTAGAACTATATTATGTGTGTGAGCGCCACAGATTAATACACATATATATATATTTTATCATTTAATATTGTTTAATGCGCTATATACATATATATATACTCTTCTCTCTCAGCTAACTAGTTTGCAAATAAAAAATTTATATCGTGATGTGTTGAAAAAAATATTATTTAAATGTTTATATTACGCGACTTACGCGGGACTCGGTGGACGATGATTCGGCGGACTGTCCAAGAGCAGAGGATCGTGATCGGGATAACGAGAAGTCGGGATCACTATTGGCTGGCTGGTGGTGCACGAATGAGGCACTTTGCCGACGTCGCGTATTAGCAAGCTCATTCTCTTGTTGGTCTTGAGAATCTGGACCGCTTCGTCGTGCGTCGCCTCCTCGAAGTTCTGTCCGTTCACTTCGATAATCTGATCGCCTACCTGCCGATCACATCACGAGAAATCATCTTGCTGTAGAAATATCGCGCTCGTCGAATTTGTTTTCGCGATCTCTCTCAAGAAAATTTCTTGACGCAGAATATAAAATTTTACAACAAAAGACATGGATTTCAAAAAAAAAATTCTCACGAGAAGACCGGCGCGATCGGCAACGCTGTCCTTATCGACGCCCGTCACGTAGATACCGAGGCCGTATTCGAGACCACCCCGGATCATCAGACCCAGAGACTGGCCGGGTTCGATGCAGAGCTCGACCTTCCGTGTTCTTGGTCCGTAACGGGAATCACGGGGTGGATGTTGAGGCGGCGGAGACGCCGGACGACCCTGGCGATCCATCCAGCTGCAAGAATTCGGACGACCCGACGACTGCCACACGGGATGTGCACGGCAGCGGGGATCCAACGCAGGCCCGCGTACCGTCATGCTAAGGGTTCTGCAGGACTTTAGCATCTGTCAGAAGCGAGAAGGGGAAAGATGGCGTAAAATATCGAGAAAAAATAGAAAAGAATTTATTTTAAGAAGATCAGGTTTTGTTATTTACATGAAAAAAAATGTAAAATTGATTTGAATGAAGTTGATTACGTTTAAGCGGATAAATTAAGAAGAATTATATTTTATATCTTTAAAAGTGAAGAAAAAAAGTATTCCAATTATAAGAGCTGACGGAAAATCTCTTGCGCAAAAATGCGCAGCGGGAGGGATGGTTAATGAAAAAAAAAAAAAAAAAAAAACTAGCGGAATCTCCGAAACGAGCTGTCTACAGGTAAAGTAGATGCAGTTTAACGAGTTAAACGCGCCAGACGCGCGTTTCTCTCGACGGTGACGCCACTCACGGCAGCCAGCAGGATATCGATTCTCCTGGTGGCGCGCACCCGTGACGTCACATCCTACTCTATCCTTGACCCAGCCCGGATCTCGCCGCGGACGTCCTTAGGATCTCGCGCTGGTTCAAAAGATGCAAGAGAGTGAGGTTTTTCTTCTCGTTCCTCGGCGGCACGTCTAATCCTTCCGCGACCCGTTTTCCGCGCTCGCTGGATGCCGGAAAGTAAGGAAGCATAAAAATGTCGTTTCGCGTTTCTCGCCAAATACGACGCGTCGCGTCCGCGACGATGGGGCAAAGTTGCATTTGGCAAATTGTGTTGGTCGCAAGGTCTCACAGGTGTGTGTTCTTCTTCCCCCGCGACGTGTCGTAAAACGTGTGTCCCCGTCTCTCTGTTTTGCTATTCAATTTTTCGCCCGTCGAATTGTGTTATGTAAATTGAACAACACGCCGTTTTACACGCGAAAGAAAGATACGAATGTTTGAAAATTTTTTTCTTTTACCTTTTTACAACGATTATTTTTATCAGCTTTGAAGATTCCCAAGACTCGAGTTGGAGTGAAAAAAAAAAACAAAGTCAGAATTCAAGTTTTCACATTTGATACAACGATCGCGACGTAATACGGTTTCTTGTTTGTTCGCGCAAAGACGTTGTTTGATTTTTGTAAGTAAACAATTAATTTCCGACAGTTTGCGGAGTCAACTCTTATCGGAGCATCGGCGAGTGGGGTTTGTTTCTTCGTGACTGTTTAATGCCGAAGGAAACTCTACCGGGATTACTATCTTGTTTTGCAACTTGAAGAGGACTTACGTATAATTATTGTTAGTTTGGCGAAATATAAGCATTTCTAGGACACGAGGTAGAATACTTGCTCGAGTTATAAATTTTCTCTTCCCTCCGCGCGCGCGCTCAATTATCGGTCGCTCTTCTCGTCAGTACATACAGACAGCATCCGCGGAAGCGTGTGTATTATGTAAAGAAAATAAATGACGGGGGAGATTTCGTCGGAAAGGCGCCGAGACGCCTGGCGCCGGTCACGTCGTTCCTCGTTCTTCTCGTCGTCGTCATCGTCATCACGTCGTCGTTGTCGTTGAAGGAGGTAAAAGGCAGAAAATAAACGAAAGAAGAACGGTTACCTTGCTTGCTCTCTCGAATGTGCCGCCATTGTTTGCGTAGCGTTTACACGTTCCCGGCATTTACGCGCAGAACGTTTAAGCTCTTTCGCAAGCATCCGCTCGACGAGATAACGAGTCTCCGAGTTGCCACCGTTATTCTTTACGGGCTTTCTTTACGCCGATGAATGTCGTCGCGCAATTTAATCCGGTTTATGTTTTTGATCCGCGTGTTCAACAGAGGATCGCGAACTCTCTTTCTCTCTCGGTTCCGGGAGCCGAAAAGTTGTGACATTAAAACAATTATCAGAAGGAATTGAAACGTAATATCCGATTCGCATCTCCATAAATCTACATTTTTTTCATTGCAAGTAGTTTTTCAATAATTTTGTATTTATTGACTCTTGTTTGTGATGATCTCAAGACTGATCGCGTTTCGTGTATACAGGACTTCACAAAATCATAAATTGCATATATTTAACAGTTTTATCGATGCTACTCCCTCCCGAATGTCAAGCTTTCTCTCATGTTAAAAATTCATTAATTGTATATTCGTCGACTTTTATTGCGATCTCAAAGATGATCGCGTTTCGCATATAAGATTTGAAATTTGTAAATTTCAATATTTAAAAGTTTTATCTTCTTTCTTGAATGCCACGAGCTCTCGCCTCGCGTTATATAAAATCATATTTATTTATGCAGTTATTTATTTATGTATTTATGTATGCGTACACGAACAAAAAAATGATGTTGAATCAACAGTATCAGTTTAATTGAAATATATCCTGTTGATGCAACATCAATAGTATTGGACTACACACAGCAGACAGTTGCTTTAAGAATCTAGACATTAAATTAATCGCATATGCAAATTGAATGAACTATTTATTTTTGTGGCAGCCCGTGACATCAACTTTAATTGAATCAACTTCATTATTTTTTCTGTGTACATAGCTATTTCGTCCGAATTGACGTGCTACGAATAAAAAGTATCCAATATCGTACGCGTTACGTGCGCGTGAAAAATGCATCGCGCCTTTTTTTTCGTGCGCGGATCATATTTTCACGCGTCACTCGCGCGGATATTATATATAGTTCTGTCTTATTCAGCTGTCGCGAGAGAAGCGCGAGAATAATTCACTGAATAAAAAAACGACACGGTGAGACGTCGCACGCGGATTTATTGAGTCTCACGATTGATAATAATATAATCAAAGGTAAACCAATAATAAAGAAGCTAATGGAAAAAAACAAATGAAGACACGTCACATCGACGCGAAATGAAAGAAATATTTCATCCGGAGCGTTAATTCATTCGCGCTGTTTTTTTTTATCTCCGAAATGTATGCTAAACCGAAGAGGTTTTTTTCTATTTAAAGTATTAAACTTCGGAATATGGAAAAAAATGACGAAAAAAGAAGAAAAACCGAAGATGGACTTGCTTGAATATTTTCCTGTCATACATGTAAAGTTTAGAAAACAATACGACCGAGAGTACATAGTCGATCGATTTGACTCACTGAAGAGTGAGAGAGAGAGAGAGAGGGAGTCGACATATTGCAAAAGACACGAGGAAGAGTAATCACACAAGGGTGGATATAGATCGTCACGACTCGTTCGCTCATCCTTCTGTGACTGCAATTTTTCCGGAATACATTTGGCCCCATAGGTCTTTACAACTCGCGACCTATATCTTTCGCTTTCGTTGCGCGCGTTATATATCGATCGCGTAAATTCTTCCCGTAATATATAACAGAACGTAATAAGTATATAAAATACAGGGTAGCGTTTCTCGCATTTATCGAATTCATTGTCGTCGTAACAATTGATTCTCCCGTTACCTCGAGATTTCAATACAAAATTGAAATGCCGAATCTCTCTCATTTGTATTCTGTCAATTTTGGCATTTAAATCGAAGTTTCTTCGTCTTCTGTCGATGTGATTCTCTAAGTTGAAACTTTCCTCGAGATTTTTACCACATTAAGATTCACTTCAAACTTCGAGTTTCTCTGTTTTGACTTTCGCATTATTCCGAAGAGGAACGTTCGTTTGTTCGTCTTCTCTGGTTGTCTTTAATATTTGCCGCTTTAACGCTCGAAAAAAAGAGGGGAGGGGTCGAAAAGGAGTCAACGCTTAAACTTTATATGCGCGAATGTATTCGCTTAGTGTTTGCCACTTGCAAGCGTCAAGCACGCAAACCGGGGGGTGCCAATGATATTCCCTCGAATCGTTTACTGTGTGTACATCAAAGAGCGTTCTTCAACAGTACTCCGGAATAAAGGTTCCCAAACAACGTTTCTCGGCTCTCACATTGCGCAATTTATATACAAAAATATTACATTTCAGAAGTGCGAAGCACCGAGAATCTCACAACAAAGTTACAAAACGTGAATCGCAAGCATTTTTTACGAAATGCTGCATATTTTTTAAGTCGCTAAAAAAACATTGTTCAACGAACTGTTGTTTCAAAGACGGACTTACAATATTGAAAAGAAAACGAAATAATCGCGTTGTAAATTCTTGGATAGAATTTATTCATTTTTTTTCTTTTTTTTTCTACGCGAGTATGGAAAACAAAAGGTTATGTAAAAATAGATAAAATACTAAAGAGAGCAACGTGAGCTAAAAAAGAATTGAGGAACACTGGCGAGAGAGGAATGCCGGGGGGAGACGAAAAGGGACGAGAATAGGTGAGAAAGGAAACAGCTGATTTCGCGACAGAGAGAGAGAGAGAGAGAGTGCGCGCGCGGTTCATCCGTTCGTGGTTATATTTGCGCGCGCGGATTTAGGAACACTCCACGTCCCAGTCGCCTCTAATCCGGTTGAGAGCCGGACGATAGCGAGGTGAGGGATCGATGAGACCGTCCCTAAGGTCAGTCGTAAATATCAGATGCATCCGCGCGATTACTCGCAGGCTGCCGCCCGGCTTTGGAGAGAAAGAGAGAGAGAGAGAGAGACAAGAGGAGGACTTTTAATTGGAACGGTCCTATATAAACGACATATCGCTCACTTTTATAGTCCCTACCCTTTTAATTCTTTTTTTTTCTGCGCAAAAAAGTCTTTAATTATCGCGCAAAAGAGACGAAAAAGCGTCCATGAATGACGATCGATCGATCGAACGAGGTTTCGCGATTTATTCCGCCGCTTTGTCAGAGAGCACACACTGTTTATACTTATTCGAAATTACACCGTTCCATTTGCGTAGGTCGATTTGTTGAAATTACGCGTTCTAAAAATTCGGATATTTTTTTTAACTCACTCGCGTCACCGAACGATATTTTTGCTTCGAAAAATTTGAATTTCGAACAAATTATCGCGAACTTTTGAAATTGACGCACGATCGACGCTGTTTTTCAATCTCGTCGGATGTGTAATTGAGCTGCGATCATGTTTGACGCGTAAATAGTCAATCGGAAAATTAAATACAATTTGCGCGCAACCACGCGTAAATGTGAAGAAAATCGGAAAAATTCAAAATTGTTATAATAAAAGAATTTCGGCTAAAGTAAAAGCTGAGCTTGTCTCGAAAGTTGGACTTGATTCACTTCGGTTTGTGCAGAGTGCGACGTGTGGTAACTCCCTCTCGACCGGCGCTATCTCTTTGTTTCACGTGTACGTCTACGTGGTCGCTAATAGAGCTTGATGAAAATAGAAGATTGCGAGACGACAACATCAAGGACGGAAGAGAGAAAGAGTAGAGAGAGAGAGAGAGAGTGAACTAAAAGTTGGGCACTCACTTTGAGAGCCTCCTCGTGGGTAACCGCGCGGAAGGGCGTGCCGTTCACCTCCAGGATGGTGTCACCTGGCCTGAGTCCAGCGCGTTCAGCCACCGAACCTTCTTCCACCCTCGAGATGTAGACGCCCACCCCTGAGAACAGTTCGCAGACTTTCCATCAGGCCGGTCAAGGCTGTTTCATCGTTGTTTTTTTCGCGATCACAAGTGCCAGCTAAATCATTCCGCCCATGACGCAAATGTCCCTTTTTTTTGCGAATGAACAAAAGATTTAGTTTAATTAACAGACACGAGAGAACAAACGGGACGCACATGAATGAATTGGTGTTACGAATAAAGTGATTTCGAACAGATTTGCGCGTAAGAAGATGCCGTTATAAAATTCTATAGAATTTATCAAATTTTTTTGCCAGATATTTTTAGTGAAATTAATATCACTAAAAAGCGATCGTCTCGTTTAATATGTGAAAGCCAGAAACCTGTTGTTGTCGGCTACTGTGTGTAATTTGGCACTCAAGTTTTGGCAGAGCTGGTTAAAACTCTCTCTCTCGCCGATATGTACTTGTTGAACCGGACGTGATAAACGCCATGGGCAGAAATATGTACCGCGTGTGTGTGTGTGTGTGTGTAAATAAGAAAGAAGAATGAGAAGAAAGAAAGTTCGGATGCATGAAATGTGTAATGAATACGAAGAAGATTGCGAAAGTTTAGCACGTAAGAGTGTGTGTAATCTCTCTTATGTGTAGCAACACTTTGACTTTATATATATATACATATATATATATATGTATATATATATATATATATATATGACGTCATATATATATATGACGTGTGTGTATTCAGAGACAGAGAAAGAAAAGCATGCATATAGAGTTTTTGAATAATCGATAGAAATTGTGATGACTGCATCGCAATATGTGTGCATCGTGCTCACGTTGTTATGCAATTCCAATGCTCGTGTGAATGTATACATATAGACACATATATGTATGTATATATGTGCACGTGTGTGTTTGTATATATTTTAAAAGATATATTTTCTGTGTTAAAAAAAAAAAAACTCGATAATTACTGAACGAAACTTTCGAAATTAATCACTGTTTGTTTCGTTGTAACATTTCGAGAAATACAACAAATCTTTCTACGAGAATTATATAAAATACATACATTTTTAATAAGAGTTGCAAAATCAAGAACACATAAGAATATTAAGTAACATTTTCACGTAAGAGCTGGTTTCTCTCTCAAAAAAAAAAAAAATTGAAAATAGGATACGTTAACTAAAAAAAACTAAAAGTAATAATAATTATTTAAATAAAAAATAATGCATTATTTTTGTTATTTGCAAACATATAAAATAAGTTTTTCCTCACTGCATTTCACAGCAAAACATTTACAAAACAGTCTGTGATTATTTATGATGAAAAACTCAAGGAAACTCGAGGATTGAACTGCATTTGTACAGTTCATGCGGTGTTGTTTGTTACGTGATTGTGCCGTGACGACTTTTATCGTCGTCGAAATCTATTTAGATTGACATAATTATTCAAATGACAGAATAAATAAAAGTTGTGTGTGTGTGTATGTACTGTTTCTTATCTCATAGAATAATTTAAAAAACTGTGAGTAAACTTGAGTGAGAATGTTTTTAACTGTAATTTAAGACACAGAACGTACAAAAAATTTCAAATAAATTAAATCTCTCAATAATTACGCGTATAGTATTTAATCGAATCGACGTGAAAGTTGCTATCGAGTTACGCAAAGTTACGGAAAAGATTAATCTTTACTTCTTGTAAGTCTCTGTTTGAACTATATCGCATTTGAAATTTTTATCCAGCCTCAGAAAACTTATCACCGTTAATCCTGCAAAACTCGTACGTACGTCTTCAAAAATTAAACTGTTACGAAATTCGTTGCTAACATACGTTGTCTTGCGCAAAGCCCCGACATATGGAAACATATATAGAAATTACCGAATTACTTATCGATCCGTCGAGTTTTCCTTGAAACAGAGAGCGTAAAAGATAAATAATAAACGACCGTCGTTCCGCGTACAACGGAATAGTTATTTTATTTATTTTTTCTAACGCAGCTGCGAGATTCTATTCTCCGCGTGTGAAAGAAACTATTTTGGAAAACTTGTCGCGATTTCCTCCGAAACCAACGCGTTCGTTTTATTCGACGTTAATACGTTTTAAACTTCTGATGGTTTTTGTTTCTAATATCTAGTACGAACATATTATTGCAATTGAATTAACGCGAAGTTTCGTGATCGTGGCGCACACACAAATGTGTATGTATATTTATTTATATATATATATATATATGAGAGCAAAGACTTTCTTCTCTACGCACTTCATGTATATACCACTAACACGCATATGCATTGTACATTCATGCAACGAGCTGTCGGGCGTGCCACAAAGTTATAGAGAGAAGAAGTAGCTTTTCTGACAGATACTCGTGGTGCGAGATGCGTTTTCTAACCCCCTCCTTTCTCTTGTTGAAGTTACCTGACTGCGCTTCTGTGGTACAGCGAAACAGAAAATAAGAATGACACAACGCAAGTTGGCTTATTCTCGATCTCAACCGGTCGATCGCGAACGATGACGAGATCCGCAAAGAAGTTTGCAGGTTTTTTTTTTTTTTTGAAATTGTGGCTGCCTTCTACGGTTTTTTTTAGAAGAAGTGTCTGACATAACAAGCGGAAATGTATTAAATATATAAATTGTTCAACTTAGTTCGTTAGTTAAATATTCGTAAATTGAACAAACATCAATTGTGGAATAAACTCGCGCATTGCGAATCGATTTTAGAAAAGTAATTATCAAACATTTCTGTGCAGAATTTGGTTTTTTTTTATCATATTTGCGACACGAGCAAATAAGTCGAGACGCAAAAGTTGAAAAAAAAAAATTTTTCAACTTTTTCGCAAATTTCGTCATCGTTTGAAACGAAGTTTCATAAAGATGTGATTTTCAAGGCGCGCGAGAAGCAAGGATCTTCCTCAAGTGCCGCTCGGAGAGTCTTCCGAATTTTGGGGGGTTTCACGCTCGAAATCTCACGGCTGTACACACAAAGCTCGTACGTCAAGCGATGGTTTAAGCGCGAGCGTGTTTGCGGTGATTGTGTGCGTGATTAAGCGTGACATTTAATACTCGCAGTTCTCTCTCGCCAGTGACGTATAGCACGTCGTTACAACTGACAGAGTTGTCGAATCATTACGTTTGATTTTAAATTTCTCTTCTATACCGTCGCGTTGTGCAATTTTCAAGACTGGTTCTGTAACTTAACGACGAGCGGGTGAAACTAACTAGTTTTTTTTTTACTCAAAACGTACCACTATTTGTTAATTATTTTCCGTGTACGATTTTTTTGAAATAGTGCGAAATAAAAAATCTGTCTGGCTCTTCTTCTTCCCTCTCTCGTTTTTCTACGGAAAACTACACGTACGTGTCAATTTAAAACACGCATGTTCAGATTCGCGCAGACTTCGCGAGAAGAAATGGAGTCTAAATCTAAATAAATTTATTGTTAAAAAAAAACTGCGAGGATTTAGTAAGTTCGACATCGTAAAACCAGATATATGTTACTTTTAACGATTGTTAAGGGCGGCATCTCTTGAACATCTTTGCCTCGTCGCGCAGATTCTCTTGTGTATTCAAAGTCCTTTTCGCATGTATATGTAAGCTGAGGAATCTTTCTGGAAAATGTCCGAGAAGAATAATTCTATGTTTTGAGTACTGACAAAATATTAAATCTTTTTTTTTTATTAAACAAAATATCTGTCACACTGTTGTTGACAGATTTTTTTTATACAATTCATTACAAACGTTTGGAAACTTCATATTTCTCGCATTGTTATATTTACATCATTTTACATTACATTTGTTTTCTTTTTTTCTATTACCTATATTACATTAATAAGGAAATTAACTTGAGAGTTAAAGATAAATTAATGTATTATAATTAATAGCTATGCTAATGTTTCTTCAAATACAAATGCAAAACTTGGACTTTTCCGACAATTGAGTTCTCCAGAAAGATTTAAATGAAACGGCGAACTCCGGCCGTCAGATTTCCGGCGCAAACGCGTTTCGATGGGTCGATAGCTCGTTATCCCATCGACCATCGAACGGCAAACCGACCGGAATTCCACCTCCGTAAAAAAGGGAAGAAAATAAGAGGAAGAGGGAAAGAGTTTGTGCAAAACGCGCATGTTCCTTCTCTATCGAGTTCTCGCGTGCAAACAATCGTCGCTGCGGCGGAAAACGATGCTTAACGATTGTGAAAATGTTTTCTCCACATTTGAGTTTCGTCCTCGCGACGGTAAAAATCCCATTTTCTATCGCTGTCGTTAATCGACCGTAAATGTTTTGCTTAGACATATAATACATAAGAGATATGACTCTAAAGAGCAAGAAAAATCAAATAAGTAGATCAGATAATTTTCACGCGAATTGATGTCACTAGTAGTTAAATTAATTTCTGCGAATTTCCATACAGGGTGATTTTTTAAAAACTTTCCAGCTGATTATCTCGAAAAGTATGAAAGATACAAAGAAAAAGGTAAAATACGTGTTTCATGATTTCGAGGAAAGAAAAAAACGGCATTATCAGGTTTTTATTTAGAAAGCATTTTCGAGATTATTTGAAGGTCAACTTTGTTTTTCTTTTTTTTTCTTTTTTTTTTTTTTTTTTTTTTTTGTAAGTGGAAATCTATATTTTTTATTACAAGATTTTTATTCACGCAAGAAAACAAGCAACTTTTTTGTAAGAAACATTTGTTTTATCCGAGCATTATTTTCGGAGATAATTAAGAAAATAGCAAAGCATAGTTACTGCATAAAAATAAATAAAAAGACTTTATTATTGCATGAAAAATAACGGAGAATACTTTGAACGCTTATTGTGATTCTTTGCAATTATTTAATCGTTGCTTAATCATTCATCTAATTACTTAATTATTTATCTATCTTAAACTCTAAATTCTTATTATTTTCATAATTATCTCCGAAATTAGTGATCGGATAAAACAATGTTTCCCACAAAAGTCGTTCGTTTTTTTGCGTAAAATAAAATCCTGCTGATAGAAAATATAGGTTTCCGTTTAAAAAGCCAAAGTTGACCTTTAAATGATCTTGAAAATGTTCTCCAAAAAAAACTGATAATGCCGTTCTTTTTCCCCTTAAAATCATGGAACATGTATTTTAGTTTTTTTTTCTTTTTTGTATCTTTTTCATACTTTTCGAGATCAGTTGAAAAGTTTTCAAAAAATCACCCTGTATATATACAATATTAATTTCTGAATTTACTTTTTATATATAGTATCGAAATGTTAAATGTGTTTTACGTTTTTAAGAGAATAAATGTACGTTAAGTAGATTAATTGAAAAAGTGCGTTTTGTAATTTATATAATTATTTGTCTAGGAAAAATAACAATTTATTCTTTTTGCAGTTTTTTTTTAGAAAAACAAATTTCCACATATATTTTTAAATGTTCGCTTTTCGTTGTCTAAATATACTTTAAGTAATGGGAATAATAAAACGAGCACTTAGTGCCAGCATGTTCCGTCGCGAGGACAAGGACGATTCGTCGATTTATGCGGAAGCACGTACAAGCGCAAGGTGTCGAGACACGATATATATGGGTGCCAACCGAGGTGACTTAGGCACGCAGCAAGAAAAAGTAATCAAGGAAACAAGTTGTCAGCGATAAGTGGCAAAAGCGAGTCGTCCGGTCGACTTGTCGGCCGACGAGTTCCGTCGTCTCGATTGCAAATCAACGTGCTCAAAACAAACAAATCGGTGAAGAGTCTTATTATTATTTGCATATTATGTATAAAAAGCAAAATCAATCAAGTTCGTATCTAGAAAAACGTCGGACGATTTAGAAAACGGTTTGAAAAATAATTGTTATGAATTAATTTAATTTGATTTACACTGAGATAATATCGCGCATCTACATATCAGCGATTGATTCTTAATGTTTTCTATGTTATCTCTCAGATATTTCTGATCTTTATTTAGAAAAGAAAAAAATTCTGAGCAAACATGTTCTTAAGGCCGGCCTCTTTAAAGTTTAAGCAAACTCGAACTGCGCACGATACAAAACCGGACGACTCGCGAAGAGCGAACATAGCGCAGTTATCGTGCATCGCGCACGATGCTCGACATGAGAGGCTTTTTCGACTTTTCAACTTCCGTAGGAGTGCGAAGAAAAAAACTAATGAGTAAGAAACCGCTGCTGGGAGAGAAAAGAAGTACCTCGTTCTCGAGGCACGAAGTACGGCGACGGGGGTAGCCTGAAGGTATTTCGGATCTCACCTGCGTCCTTGCCACCCTTCACGCAGATGCCAAAGCCATGGTGAGAGTCCGGCGGATCTCTCGTCATGGTGATTGTCCTTACGGTGAGCTCTTGAAGACTGAGCGGCTGAGCGATCGGCGATGTGGGCGGGTTCCCCGGCGATTGCTGCTGCTGCTGCTGCTGCTGTTGCTGCGACTGCTGCGATTGCTGTTGCTGTTGCTGCTGCTGCTGCTGCGAGCCGGACGAGGTCGGTGTGCCGCGTACCGTCGTGACGCTCGCGGGACTCGACGCCGGTGATCTACGATCGGTCTGACGTCGCTCCGAGACGCTGCTGCCGAATAGCCTGGAGATAAAAGTCGTAGATTCTTTAGCAGAGCGCTTTGAACGTATCTGTTATTAATAATCTCAATAAAAAAATCGAGCAATATATTTTATCACAAAATATTTTATCTACTCGAGCTTTTGCTCTTTACAATTCGAACAAAAGCGCCGAGAAAGAGACCCGGAAACTATCTCGCAAAGATTCGACGCGAAATAAATACTGTAACGGCACTTTGAAATTCCTCCGAGAATTTATGACGATATAGGCAACTTAAAAATGAAAGATTCACCGATCTTGATCCGAGTCGTAAATTTCACGAATTATGTTTTTATAAAGAAAGACAGGCTAAATGTACGTAAAGACTCTTTGCGATCCCGAGTCGTCGGATTTGCATAATTCGATTTCGAATTATGGATCGGAAATCGAATCCGATCACGGAAGATCCGGGGGGGGTTTGCTCATCGGTGTCGTCATCGTACGTACCTGAGCACCTGTTCCGGGGAGATGGCACCGGTGCCGGCAGCTCCGTGGCCTCGATGCGATCTATAGGGAGTCGCGTGTGATGAATGATGATGTGGCGCGCTGGGCGGTCGCTCGACGATGGTGTAATTGGTTCCGGGCGGGCTGTAGTAACCGCGATGCTGGCCGCCATGGTGGCGACCGGTGCTCGCGGTCTCGAGATCCTCGGCCTCGTAACAGCCGCCGGTGCCGCTCCGCAGGTAGTGAGAACCGCCACCGGTCCCACGCAAAGTAGTGAAGTGCGTGCCGGTGGTGCCGCCACCCCACTGCAGCTCCTGCAGCTCGGAACCGTAGTCCTCCGTGCTGCTGGCCATGCTGCTACCGATCGGCTCCTCGGTCACACCTGCCGATCGAGTAAAACGACCTTTTCACATTTTGTGTTGCATCAGTCGAGATTTAAGATTAAAAAAAAAAAAAAAAAACGAAGAAAACATGGATAGTGAAAAATTTTAACTTTTACTTTTGCGAAACAACAATAAGTGCTTTGCGACGGCAAACGTTGCGTCTCTCATCTGTTTGTTCGATTGAAATTAAACAAACTAACATTCTCTTTGTTTCATCGCACATTCGAGCTAGAGTTTGAATTTCGCTTTTTTGTTTTGCCTACAGCATTGTACTTGTTGGAAAGTGTGTATTTTTTGGGTTGTGCGAAATTCGAAGAGAACAAATTGGATTGGGAAATTGGAGTTGCATTTTAAAGAAGAGACCGCGCAAATGTTTAATCTACAAATATTTGCGTTAATATTTTACAATATGCGTTAATAAATTTGAACGCGGATTTTTTGTTTTTGTTTTTACACGCGGATAGAATTATAAATTAAAATTTGTATTACGTCTTGCGTGTGATTCAAAAAGCGATCAAAAAGCGGTTTGAAACACACAAAAAAAAAAAACATAAAAGCCGCGGCCTAAATTTCAAAACTGCCAGTTCAGATCGATCGAAGATTCTTCGCATAAATAAGTCAGAAGACGTCTCCGAGTCTTCCAAGAAGACATTTTCGTGTTAGCAAAGAAACCGTCTCGGCATTCAAATGCCACACATTAAGGCGACTGAAACTTTTATCACGATATAAGCGCTTGCTTCTTGAGCTTTTCTTCTTCGAGGCGGAAAACCGAACTTTATCAAAATGGAAAATGCGGGTAAGTTTCTGTCGCGCGAAAAAAATTGACGTGCGACTACCTTATATATAAAACCTCGAAGAAAAATTAATAAGATGTTAAAAAATCGCTTTTTCAGCGCAATTCGCTTTCGCGAACTCTTTCTTCGCGTCCGAGGAAAGATCGATGTGCTAATTTTTAGCTTAGCGTGCTACTTCGTTGCCACGCATATATCCATACACACAAATGTGCGAAATTCTCTGTGCTGTAGATATTCGAATGAATTGCTGATCGCACTCATGTTAATTTCAAATTGTCGAAGCTCGTTGAAGTTGTAATATAATTAATATAATTAATTATCGCGATAATGATGATGCGGTGTAATTAAGCGAATTGTACGTGCAGCAACTTGTGCGAATTATACGTTGATATGAAATTAATTAATCACAAATCTAAGACAGTTTCAAAATAAAATGATAGATTAGTTTCCACGGTCACCGCGCAAAAATTCTCAAAGTAAATTAACATTTTTTGAGATTAAAGCCAACAAACTTATTTAGCGACTAATTAATTTACTAATTAACCTTTAGACCGCCGGCATGATGCCGTATATGGTATCGCTGTGGTTTACCTTTCGAATTTGCCGTAAGCTGAGATAGAAAAATTTATTTATACATAATTAGCATGATAATGTATGCTACTGTATTGGAAGATTTTTGCAATTTAACGCCAAAAAAGTAATTAGCGATATGAAAAAAACTTAGAAACACCATTTTTCAAAATTTAAAAATCTTATAAATTTTTCATTTCCGTTTCCCGACGGGAACGCGCCGATCGGAGCTGGGTGAAACCTTAGAACACTCCACGCAATATAATAAATTCAATTTATATACAAATATTGCGGGAAAAATGTTATATTTTTAATCAGAAAATGCTGGCGGTCTAAAGGTTTAGTCTAAAAAACTTGTATATAAATAATTCATAATTTTGAAATCTCTCTCTTTATGCAAAAAAATTCTCGAGACATGTGTCTTGTGTTCGTGAAATAATACGTGAATATTCGCGATTTGTTTCTTCAGAGCGCGATTGATCATGTTTTTATTGATGCTATTAGTCCGAGTTGTGTATGTGTGTGTATGTGTCACGACACTTGAGTCAATCGCATTATCGATCGTCGCGCGGAACAAGAATAACGAGACAATTAAATCCGTCGCGAGAAACGACTTTCTTGTCGTGACCGTCCACTAGTGATCCCAAATAGTTTAGATACCATCTTTACGTGAGAGTCTCGCCGTCGCGTCGCGCGGTCACACAGTAATGGCATCATTTTCTGGGACAAACCTATTCTATCGTATCCTTAATGGATTCCGGAAGTATTCCGTTATCGCCGGAACGAAGTCCCGAAGTTTATCCCGGGAAAGATTATCGCTGGATAAAGCCGGATTGTTGTGTATGCGCGAACTTTTTCATCAATTTAGAAAAGAAATACGATACACGTTGAACAAACAAATCGAATAATAAATTCTTCTCTCGGATGGAAAAAATTCATCTAGATATATAAAGTTACCAGATGTAAAATAAATTGTTAAATAAAATTTACGAGTTTTTTTAAATGAAACAATTCGAAATGTATATACTTTTTACATGTACATTTTTAATTCGGCTTTAACTTTTATTTATTATTTTTCATTTTTGAGAAAGTAGGTTGTTTTACACATAAATATCATCAGATTACAGTTTGGTAAATCACGCAATAGCTGTGTAAAAAAACTATTTTAGCTGCGTACAAAAAAACCTCATGCATGTGTTTATATAACACAGTTGCGAGTTTGAGTTAAATAAATTCAAAATTCCCACAAACAAACGTTTAAATTCCCAATTCTTTCTCAAACGGTTTTTTCTCAACAAGAATAAGAGCTTTAACTTTTAAAAAACAACAATTATCATCGTTTTTTTTTTTTTTTAATTAAGTGCATCACGTTGTGAACAAAAAAAATGATAAAATAGCGAAAATGATAAATTTTTTAATTTCGAAACAACCGAGATCGTGTTCCAGTTACTTCGCGATTAAAATCCTCCGTTAATTCATTCCTTGTGCAAAGTACAAAAGCGCGGGTAACAACTTTCCGCCGATGGATTTGCCATTCGCTACTCACAATATACCCTAATTCCCTCATTCCCGGCTGACAATCGAGAGACAGTTTCACCTATTGCGAGATGGCTCGATCCCCCAACCTTGACACTGGGAAAGGCTTGTTTGCCGCCGGCGGGGACGGGAGAGTCGGAAGGCTTTACGTTGGAAGTCGCCTTCAACGTACCTGAAGAAGGGGGAGGATTGCCTGAAGAAGGAGGAAGAGGAGGAGGAGCAGGAGGTGGTGGTGGTGGTGGTTGGTTAGTAGGTGGGTGGGGGAGGTGGTGGGTTGTGTCGTGTCATGTACGAGGGTGGGTCGATCAATACTGCGGCTGTATACCTGAAGCCGGCTTCATTCAGTCGGCAGCCTCATTCCATCCTCCCTCCCTTTTCATCCCCCTGTCCGACGTGACTGTTATACCTATTTCGCTACCTGCTCCGCACTATACTCGGCGATTATAGTAGCACGTACTTGTTCCCGGCAAGATTCACAATTAGTGTCTCAAGTAGAACAGTGTGGCGGAACGATGTGCATACGCGTGCCAGAGAAATGAACAGTATAATATAGTGTGACGCGACGGTAATGAATTGTAATTTACGGCTCGCGAGAATGTAAAATCGGGAAAAAAAGGCAAACCTGGCAAAAAAAAAACAAAAATCTCGTCTTGTTAAGTCGCGCAAACGCACACAAACAATATTTATTTTTATCGCAAATTTGTTTATGTAAAACAAATTGTGTTAGTACAATTGTATATAATTTTGTGTGTGGGCGAAACTTGCTTGTCACCTTCTATACTCGGTCAACTAATAATTTATTTGCGCATTGACGAAAATAACCCTCGATCGACTCGTTTATCAATTTGCGAATGAATATTTTATATTCCACGAACTTCGTCGGCAACAAATTAATATTTTTACTTTGCGCACAAAAAACTCCATTTGAAGACAAATTTGATACAAATTACATTTATATAATTTTATATCTTCTTAAACTCATTTGTGTTCTCTCTCGAATTGTACTTTCACGGTTTTCTCTCTCTCTCTCTCTCTCTCTCTCTCCGACTTATTTTCTCTTTGAACATTTTATTTAAATTCAAGTCTCATGCGAGAAACACGCAAAGTTGTTTTCATTTTGCTTGATATTATAGAAACGAGATTATAAACGCGCGAAAAAAGGAAACGTGTTCGCGCGAATTTAGGAAATTCGCGAGACGAATTTATCGAGATATATTGTGTCCGAGTTGGGATAATTTCGGACGGTCGTGAACGCGATAACTAAAAGCGCCCTGGCGAAAGGTGAAAGGTAAGCGCAATACATTTTGCGCGTCATCCAATTTCCTTTTAAAGTTTGCGCAACCGTGCACACACGTAGCGCGACATAAAAGGCCGATTTTTCAGTGTTGTGTCTTTCTTTCCTCGCGACCGATATAATACAAACAATACGGTATCGATTACGCGGTAGCGTTAAATCGATAACGTTAAAAAAGACGAAACATCGTCTCCCGTCGAATGACGTTGCTCCGCGTCGATAAATCCGTAAAAATTTACATGTCGTTGCCCGCCTCGTGACCGACGAACGTTTTCATTTATACAACGTCGTTTTTTGCAAAAGAAGAGAAATTCGCGGCCGCGTTTTATGCAAATCGAAATGTATCTGCCGGGCATGCCCCGGCAAAGAAAAAATGCAAATTACAGACAGAGAAACCGAGTTTACATCTCGCTCCAACACGGTAAAGTAAAATTAATATCGTTAAACATATTAGCGATAGCTACGTTTCGTATTATATATTTCATTATTTCTTTATTTCAGCTGAAGTATGATAATGAAAGAACAACGCGCAAAGTGTCAATTAGAAACGAAATTAATTATCCGCACACCTGGATGCTGTTAAAATTTTTGACAGCGTGATATTTCGGTTTTAAAAGCTATTTTACGCGTACGTTTTACGCGGAAATTTTTGACGGCAAAAGTTTATATTTAAAGTTTGCAACGCATAACGCGACGGCAACGCGCGTTCATTATTCCCGAGGTCTGAGAGAGGCATTGTATTATGCAGCGCGCGCGCTCGTGCATTTAGACCGGTGGCTCGTTAAATGTTTCAACGCTTTGGAAA